ACATCTCCATCAATCACAGATAGCTACAGATCCAATACAGTCTCCATGATAATCTTCACAGAAATAGAAAAACAAGCCTCAGATCTGTATGGAACCTCAGAAGTCTCTGAACAGCCAAAGCAGCCTTCAGCAAAAAGAACAAAGCTGGAGGTATCACATTCCTTGACTTCAAAATATACCACAGTGCTATAGTAATCAAAACAGTATGATACTGGCATTACAAATAAAGACATAGAAAATACAACAGAATAAAGAGACAAGAAATATATTCACATATTTACAACCAACAGATTTTCACAAAGGTGCCAAGAGCATACAATGGGGAAAGGACAGTCTCTTCCATAAATGGTGCTGGAAAAAAAATGTTTATCCACATATAGAAGAATAAAATTAGACCCTTATCTCACACCACGTGGGAAATCAACTCAAAGTGTATTAAAGACTTAAAGTGAAGACTTGGAATTATAAAACTGCTGAAAGAAAATATAAGGGAAAGTCTCCATAACCTTGATCTGGCAATGACTTTTTAAATATATGATCTCAAAAGCACAGGCAACAAAATAAAAAATAGACAGATGGGACTACATCAACCTACAAAGCTTCTTCTCAGCAAAGGAAATACTTATAGAGGGAAAGAAAAAACAATCTACAAAATGAGAGAAAATATTTGCAAACTATGACCTCTAGTAAAAAGTTAACATTCAAAATATATAAGGATTAAAACAACTCAATAATAAGAAAACAAATAACCCAATTTTAAAAGGGACAAAGGACCTGAATAGACATTTCTCAAAAGAAGAGATACAAATGACCAATAGGCACATGAAAAAACATCCAACATCACTAATCATAAGGGAAATGCAAATTTAAACCACAATAAAATATTACCTCACTCTTGTGAGAAAGGCTGTTATCAAAAAGATAAAACATAAATGTTGACAGAAATGTGGAGAAAAAGGAACCCTTGAACATCGTTGGTAGAAATGTAAATTAGTGCCATCATTATGCAAACAATATAGGGGTTCCTCAAAAAGTTAAAAATAGACCCACCATATTATCCAGAAATCTCATTATTGGGTATATATCCAAAGGAAATGAAATCACTGTGCTGAAGAGATATCTGCCCTTCTGTGTTCACTGCAGCATAACTATAGCTAAGATATAAAATCAACTTGTGTTTATCAGTGAATAAATTAGTAAGAAAAATGTGATCTATATGCACAATGGAATATTATTCAGCCATAATAAAAAAGGAAAATTTGTAATTTACCACAGCATTAATGGACCTGGAGGACATCGTGTTATGTATAATAGGCCAGGCACAAAAGGATAAATACTATACGATTTCACTCATATGTGGAATCTAACATTGTTAATTTCATAGAAGTACAGAGCAAATGGTGCTTATCAGAGGTTAGGACAGTTGGGAGAAGGTGTTAGGGAGTTGTTGATCAATAATACATAATTACAGTTAAATATAAAGATTATGAACTTCACAGCAACATGGATAGATTTAGAGTCTATAATACTCAGTGATCTATCACAGAAACAATGAACTGAGTACCACATGTTCTCACTCATGAATGGATGCCGAACAATTATCATACCATAAGAAAAGGATTGGCAGTAGCGGTAAACTTCATCAATAAGGGTAACTGATCTCAAATCAAATAAATTGGGGACCAAAGTGAGGCCCAAACTTTTCCTGTACAATGACCATTTGTATACCTAATCCTAAATTGTACCCATCTTTAAAAATTCAAAAAAAAAATAAGTCCAAGAGATCTACTGTAGAGCATGGTGACTATAGTTAATGTCAATACATTTATTCTTGAAAAATGCTAAAAGAGTGGATGTTAAACATCCTCATCACAAAAATAACTATGCAAGATGATATGTATTTTAATTAGCTAAATTTAACCATTGCACAGTGTATATATAGTTCAAAATATCATGTCATACACAATAAACACAGATTTTTGTCCATTTAAAATAAGTAAATGAATAAAAATAAAATAAAATGTGGAGGTCCTTATATCAATGGCAAAAAAAAAAAAGAGAATATTAGATGCATACATGTGGTGATAGGCTGTGTAAAAACCTCAGAGAGTTTTTTTTGTTTCGTTTTTTAGTTTTTTTGAGTTGGAGTCTCTCTCTTGTTGCCTAGGCTGGATTGCAGTGACATGGTCATGGCCAACTCAGCCTCAACCTGCTGGCCTTAGGTGATCCTTTCACCTCAGCCTTCCAAGTAACTGGAACTGTAGATGCACGCCACTACGCCTGGCTAGTTTTTGTGATTTATTGTAGAGACAAGGTCTCACCAAGTTGCCCAGGTTGGTCTCAAACCCCCCGACTCAGACAATCCTCTCGCCTCAACCTCCCAAAATTCTTGGATTACAGGCTGAGCCACTGCACCCAGCCAAGGAGCTGTTCAAACAAGGAAGTACATATATTTCTTGTGACTTGTTACAACATGTCAAATAAAATAAAAACTAACCTGTATTTGAATTTTAGGGATTATTTTTATTTCATCACTGGATTTCTTTCATTTTTTAATAAAGTCTCTACTATATCAATGTAATATGTTTGTTTTCTGCTAATGTGTGATAAGTACATCGTTAGACATGCAACATTAAGTGTGCCTTCTGAGATTAATACAATTTAAATACTTTATATTTTTTCCCCATAGTAGTTCAACTTATATCACAAATTTTCATCTAAATTATAATGCTTTATTTTGTATTGCCTGGGGAGAAGAAACTATTAATAACAGAATAAAAAGATGTTACAATTAGAATCATTGTCATGAAACTAGGCAGACTATGTACAATGAAAAATGTCAGAAATTTAATTTAAGAGAGGTTTTGCCCAAATCAGCATTTTTAGGCTCCATTCTTAAAGTAAAATTTAACATCAGTAGGCATTGTGAACATGTCTAAAATGGCTTATAGTATTTGTAGAGGCTTTGTAAATTGTAGAAGATTGAAAAATATATATTGAATATATTACTGATAGATTATATTTCAATGCTAATATAAAGTTCAGAGAGTTTTTTTTTTTTTTCTTGAGCTTTTATTCTATTGTAGAAAAGAAACAAAACCATACCTGTTCTACTATTTTATTATAAATTTGTAAATAGGACTATTAACTAATGACTGAGGTGGTTTGTGTGTTTCTAAGTCCAATGATACACTTGTCTTACAATTACAACTTAGAAATGAGGAGCAAAATGAGGAACAGAGAAATCCAGAGCATTGTAGGCACATTCAGTGAATAGAATACTTAGTAAGATGGATAAAGAATTAATATAAGCATATGTACACATTTGTGGAAGTAAAAATAAAATCATTCATCAACATATGTCCTAATAATAGAGAAAGGATAATGTCTGATTTTCAACTACATATAGTTTTTCAAAATATGTGTATACAAATTTTGATATCTGATAATTTCATTAAAAAGCTACTTTTAACAGCTAAAAATCTTGTAACATTGAGGTACTGTCATTTCGAGTGTACTACTATAGTATTAAAATTAAAATGTCAAGCTTCCTTTACTATTTCAAATGGATAATAGTACAGAATCCTATATTAGCTTTTATTTTAGCTTATTTTATTATTTACTTTATTTATTTTCAGAAACAGAATCTTGCTCTGTCCAAGCTGGGCAGTGGTGGGATTATAGATTTAACTGCAGCCTCCAACTCCTAGCTTTTATAAATAAAGATGACCATGTTTATATTTCATAGCTTTTAAACATATTAGCAAATGTAGAGAGATGGTTTATTTTAAAAATTGAATGGTTTTTTATCAATATTTTTTATTATGATTTTGTGGGGTACAGTTAAGGGTTAGGTATACAATTACGTTTCATTCAGGCACCCTGTTGATAAGAGGTGTTTCCCCATCTCCAGACAGATATTTGCTACTGTTAATCCCATCCCCCCCCCAAATTGAATGGTTTAACATAAAAATGCTGTTGAGTGTCTTAAAAAACATGTTTAATGGTGTTTAACCAAACTAGAAGTATTCTTGGGGCAAAACCTCTTGATTTTTTTTATTATAAAGATGTGGGGTACAATTCAGGGTTAGGTATACGAACACTGATTATACAGGTACCCTTGTTGATGAGGTATGCCCCTCCCTTCCCTAGCAATTTCCCTCAACTGCCAATCCTCCCCCCACTCCCCTGGACAGTTTCCCAAACTACCAAATGCTTTCTTATAGTGTTATAATTGTTCTAGGTCCACTTTACTGGAGCAAGATATACCAAATAAAGGTGGGCTACAAGCACCAGTACAGTTGGCTTGGTTCCTTTTCCCTGACAAAGTTACTATTGCAGATATAACATTTTATTTGTTTATCATTTCCACTTTTTTCTTTTGCTCTTTTCTTGATGTTTATGAACCATTTCTTATTTAGTCAATTGATTTTTTGAGGGTTTTAAAGACATTAACAGGAAAATAAATAACTAGACAGGATGCATAATTTGCCCCAGAGACTTGACCACTCAGAAAACTACGAATACTAAATCTCCTCAAGATATAGAAGACTTTAGGCATTATTATTTCCATTTTAGTAGGTGACAAAAATGATTAATTAAGTCACTTTGGCAAAATGTGTCTGTGCAATTTACCCTGACTCTTTTATAGTGGCCATCATAATGGAAGAAATGGCCTTGTCATTCCTTAGCGCAGTTTTTAGCAATTTCAGAATCTAACTTTATCTCCCATACATTAAGTATTCCAATGAAAAATCAAGAAGAGAAGAAGTTGAAACATAGAGTTGCTTTTTTATTTTTCACATAAGGATTGTTTCTTTTATCCCTGGACAGCCAAATGAGATAGCGTGGAAATGATCCCATAGATTTGTTCCGACATCCTGCACTTAAAGAACTACCTAGTTACAGACATGGACTATTTGATTCATGTGAGAAAAAAAATAAACTTTGCTGTTTTACTAATGGTTATTTATTGTTCTCTCTCTTTTTCTCTTTCACAGACCACCACTTTGCAGGTATAATATTGTGCTTAAAGAGAGAGAGGAAGTATTTCTTGATCCAGGCACATGTACAACAAAGAAAATATAAAATGCCTTAGTCCATCTAAATGTACTTGTTTGTGAATAAATGGATTTGTAAATGGAACGATGCAATCAGTCTTTTAGAATGTATTGTTTAATCTGAAAATCAGATATTTCTCTTTCTTGAACACATTTTTAAGAACCAAAAATTGAAATGCAGATGCATATAGTAAAGCATTCGGAATTTATTCTAAAAATTGATTATTTCTTTTTATTTTATGTGCTTTCTCAATCAAATGTTTATCCCTGACTATCTTAATTACTTGTTATTAAGAAATAAATGCCTTTAGAAAAGTAGAAAAGTTTAATGAGGACTTCAATACACTGTATTAAACAGTACCATTCTGCACCTCTGAGACTGTAATAGTAAAAAAAAAAATGAAAACCTTATTTTATTGGCAAATTTGTTATTTGGAGAATCACTTGGATTAATGTGAGCCTAGAAAATATACCTTCTGTTTGATTATCTACTTGGTAGTATTTGGTAATGCTTTGTAAATAACGGTTTTGTTCCTATGGAGTATAATAAATCTATGGATCAAATACTTGTATTACTTACTAATAATGTGATCTTTTTACTTTACTATTTTTTTAAATTTTAGATTCAGGGGGGTACACCTGTGTATGTGTTACATGGACATATTGTGTAGTGTGGAAATTGGGTTTCAGGTGGCCCATCCCCAATTAGTGAACATTGTTCACTATAGGTAATTCCTGAACCCCAACTCCACTTCTTCTCCCTCCTTATTGGTGTCCCCAGTGTCTGTTATTTCCTTCTTAGTGACTGTTTAAATTCCATGCATGAGTGAGAACATGAACTGTTTGGTTTTCTGTTTCTGAGTCAGTTTACTTAGGATGATGATCTCCTGCTCCATTATGTTGCTGCAAAGGACATGATTTTATTTTATTTTTTAAGGTTGCCATAGTATTCCATGGTATATATATACCACATTTTCATTATCCACTGATCAGTTGATGGGCATTTAAGTTGATTCCATATCTTTGCAATTATGAAGTGTGCTGCAATGAACATGCAGGGGTAGGTCTCTTTTTTTTACATAATGACCTTTTTTCCTTAGGATAGATACCTAGTAGATCTACTTTTAGTTCTTCGTGTAATCTCCATATAACTTTCCATAGAGGTTGTACTAATATCCCTTTTCTCCACATCTATGCCAGCATCTATTGTTTTTTGATTTTTTACTAATGGCCATTCTGACTTGTGTAAATTGGTATCTCATGGTGGTTTTAATTTGCATTGCCCTGATTATAAGTTATGTTGAGCATATGTTTGTTGGCCATCTTATATCTTCTTTTGAGGAATGTCCATTCATGTTGTTTGCCCACTTTTAATGGGGTTATTTACTTTTTACTTGCTGATTTGTTTGAGTTGTTTGTAGATTCTGGATATTGATTCTTTGTCTGATGTATATATAGCTTCTGAATATCTCCTACAATTCTGTAGGTTTCCTGTTTGATCTGTTGATTATTTCTTTAGCTGTGCAGAAGTTTTTCAGTTTAATAAAGTTGCACATATTTATTTTTGCTTGTGTTGCCAATATCCAGGAAGGTATTTCCTAAGTTTTCTTCTAAGATTCTTATAGTTTGAGGTTTCACATTTAAGTTAATTTTGAGTTAATTTTTGTATATGTTGATAAGTAGAAATCCAGTTTCATTCTTCTGCATGTGGTTAGTCAGTTTTCCCAGCTTAATTTGGTAAATATGATTTCCTTTCTCCAATGTTTGTTTTTGTTGGCATTATTTAAGATGAGTTGGTTGAAGATCTGTGGTTTTATTTCTGGTTGCTCTGTCCTGCTCCATTGGTCTATGTATCTATTCCCATACCACTACCATGCTTTCTTGGTTACTGTAACTTTGTAGTACAGTTTAAAGTCTGATGTTTCCAGCTTTGTTCTTTACACTGAAAATTGCTTTAGCTTTTCAGGTTCTCTTTTGCTGTTATGTGAATTTCTGTATTGTCTCTTCTAGGTCTGTGAAAATGATGCTGGAAGTTTGATAAGGATCACATTAAATCTGCAGATTGCCTTGGATAGAATTAACAAATTGATGTTATTGATTGTTTTAATTCATGAGCATAGGATGTTCTTTCATTTGTTTGCATCTTTAATATCTTTAAGCAGTATTTTGTAGATCTCATTGTAAAGATCTTTATTCTCTTTGATTAAGTGAATACCAAGTTATTTTATGTTTTGTGTGACTATTGTGAATGAGATTATGTTTTTTATTTGTTTCTCATTCTGCTTATTGTTTTTTTTTTTCATTAATCAGTATTTTTTATTATGGTTTTGTGGGGTACAGTTAAGGGTTAGGTGTACAATTACATTTCATTCAG